CCCAACAGGCCTTCTGGCACATTGCCCAAGTTGCGATTTCGCCTGGCAGCAAGCAGCGCTTCTGCAATCTCAAGAATGAACAATGTCTCTTCACCTGCACTGTAGCAGCTATTAATAGGCCTGGACTTGTCCTTGGTCTGCTGCCGACCAGTACCGGGCGCCCGCGGCTTGTCTGCTTCATGAATTTTTGTTGTCCGGTACCTCCCAGACTTTCCTGGGACGCTGCTGCAAAATTGGACTTCGGGACTGGCTGGACTTTTATCGGACTGTTCGGGTACTGGCTGGACTTTCGCCAGTCTGTTCGGTACTGTCTCAGCTTTGCCTACGACGCTTCGACTTTCTGCGGACCCTAGGACCCTTACCTACCGGCACAGTTGAAACTGGGATCATCTGGGACTGGGTCCAACTGGGACTGGGACAATCTGGTATCCTGGAAGTGGGATTCGGGGTGTCCGCAGCGTGAAATCCTTTTCATTTGAAAAAAAGAAAAAAAGAAAAAAAGAAATACAATGAAATCCATTCCAGAATCCAAATCCAATTCTAATTGAATTCAGTAATTTCAGTTCAATTTAAATTATTCAATCAACTAATCAATCAAGTTTCAGACAAATCAATGGAAGCAATCAGTCAGTCAGGTTTATTAAATAAAGTCGTATCTCTTTTTGCTTGTTTATACGAAGGGCGACGGCCTTGAGGTATCATCATTGAGCTGACCGGCCCAGGTAATTGAAAATCATTTATTATGTCCATCTGATCTGATTGCATCTGGACTCTTATTTGGGTCTGTATTTCAACAGTTCATGGGTGTACCAACTGAGCTACAGTCTTCCCCCGAATACAACGTACGGTCATTATAGCTGTATCTAGACTGAAAGATGCCTCAACAATACAGCTATAACCGTGCGTTGTATTCGGGGGAAGACTGTAGGCCCAGTGGAGTCAAATCATGAATGGATCTACGGATTCTATGGTTATCATATGAATCAGTCAATCGATCCGTTAATGGGTGGCTTAACCACTCAATTAATTCAATTTAATAATTTTAATTGCATAGCAATGATAGCATCATATTACACCAGATCAGATGAAATGACATTAAATCATATGATAAAACGCAAGTCGAAACGAGTGGAACCAATCTTTTTTTTTTTTTCCCTCCCTGATCTTAATCGACCTGAACCCGTCAGGTAGTCAATCCATCAATCCATCAATCCATCAATCCATCGATCCATCACTGTTACATGCTGAAAGCCTACACACGGGCCCCTCACGGGACCCGAGTTGGAATAGGGCCCCCAGGTCGCGTCACCGCAACCTGAAGGCCCTATGGCATTTTTACTTGGGCCTGCATCAGAAAAACGCCAGCTTTAGATTATTTTTAGAGTCTTTATTTTATTTATTTGCTGCTGTTTTTCTAAAGGGTGTACTGTTGTCCGTTTTGTGGCCAGGTACACGCTTCTAGGGCCAGGGCCAGATTCAGGCCCAGAGGCTGAGCTCCTAAAAACGTTTGGACCTTTTCTTTTGTTTTCGAACAGATTTTGACCTGTTCGAACCCAGGCYRACGTTGAGGCCGGGTACGTCCGCACAGGACCGGTTTGAAGCCAGGTACCAGGAAGATTAATCCTGGACAGGGCCTGGACGTCCGGTAGGGACCCAGGCAGGCCGTTTTAGGCCAAGGACTAAACCAGTTTTCGAAGCCTGCGATCTGGACCGTGGATCGGAGTTTCGATCTGCACGGTCCAGAACGCAGGCCGTGGGTTTTCAGTCCTGGCCCAGCACTACTTAAGCTGGGCCATTGCCCAGTGCGGACACAGAAGGTACCAGGAGAAATCCAGCGTTATGCTGGTTCAGGAACTTGGCGGCTGCGCTATTTTGGAGACTCCCTGCTGCGCCATTTCGAGACTGCAGCTGCGCTGCTTATCGGCCATGAGGCACAGCGCTGGAGGAGTCCAGCGCCGAGGAGGGTAGTGGAGTTAGAGAGAGAGAGAGAGAGAGAGAGAGAGAGAGAGAGAGAGAGAGAGAGAGAGAGAGAGAGAGAGAGAGAAGAGGATTTACCTGCCCAGCGCCATAGCTGGCTCCGCGGTACATGCAAGTTCAGCCATCGCCAGGTAAGTGCAGAAAGCACCCAGCTTTCTTCTTCTTCTTCTTCTTCTTCTTCTTTATCAGAGTAGAGATAGAGGTAACTGCAGACATTGTTTGGACACGGCCTTCTGCCTTATTGGACACGACATTCAGATCGGACTTACACTCTACATTGGGATTGAACTGTGTGCGACATTCGGAGATCAGACTTGGGTTGGACTTGGCTACCTCTATGTCCCTCCCCCTTCTCTCTCGCATGTCTAGGGATCTCTCCCCATGTGTGTGAGCGGAAGGGCAATCTTCCTGGTGTCTTGCCCTTCCGAATTTTCTCCCTTTCATGTTGTTGTCCACGTGTCCTTTGATACTAGATCTTCCGCTGCGCTGCTTCCCAGCCTATGATGATGATGATACGAATGTGTTGTTATTGATTTCCCGTTGTTTCACTCTTTGCGCCGCGCACATTGACACCTTGTGAATGTTGCACCTATGCTGCTGGTTGTTGCCACTTTCGTCATTGCTAGATCCTAGGCTTTCAGTGCATTTTACTTTCTGATATGTTACAATCACACAGGAAATTAAATCAATCAATCAATCAATCACACAGGAAATCAAATCAGCCAAACCAATAGAAAAAATGTTAAAAGACTATCTGGAGCCATAAAAGAAGCGGTCATCTATACACCCGCATCGGATAAAAATGGCTGGGAATGTACTGGGGGTTTAAACTTTAAACTTTAAACCACCAATACATCTGGAGAAATCAAAGAAGCCTCTTCGAAAAGTTAGGGGGCTCAGGACAGGGGCCCCCTGGGGGCATGCAGAATTTTTATTCTTTTTGAAGGGCTGGGCCTAGTGCCACTCCACGGCATGGGACAAATTTTTTATTTCTTCTACTGGCTCTTCGAACGCCCTGTCCCGAGCCTCCCAAATTTTAGGAGAGGCTCAATTGGATTCTCAACTTGGCTGGGGCCATGGACTGGGGGTTTAAGGATTCGCCCAAGAACCGGGTATACCTGACTTAGTGCGATGTGCACCTACCTTTTGGGGTAAAAGTCGTAGAGCCATAAAATGGGTAAACGCCACATTTGTTTCTCGTATATAGACGAAGTAGAAGAAATATTGACAAAAACAATCGTACCTGGAAGCGACCGGCTTGTGTAGATACTGTCACTGCACAACAGGCTACGGATTGGGGATTTAGTGGTGTAATGTTAAGTGGGTGCAGGCCCCGGCAGGGTATTTCGCCCGGGCAGGGATTTGCAAAAAGCAGAACCCTACTGTGTTTATGACAAAGTAGAATTTGATGTACCCGTAGGTGCACAGTCAATGAAAGCGCAATCAATCAGCGGACATAATACATATCGATTGGACAAGCAAACAAACAAGTTGTATCGAATCAAACCACAAAACCAACCTATGAGTCAATCAGTCGAGAGCAATCAATTCACCAGTCAAGTTGAATCAACCAAATTGAATTACTCAATCATAGAATCGAATTGTGTCAATCGATCAAAAAAAATACTTAGTCTTATCAAGCAAATCAATCCGTCAATCGGTTGAGACTTGAGAGCAATCAATCCGTCAATCAGTCGAGAGCAATCAGTTAACCAATCAACCAATTTATTTATTTTATTATTATTATTATTTTTTAAAACAAGTGGTCCAGTCTATCCGTGGGGAGCACAGCACGTGCTGGGAACCGGGCCCAGCGTCCCAACCAAATTAAATCACTCAATGAGTGAATCTAAGTGAGTCAGTAAGTCGAATTAGTCGTATAAGGCAGATCAATCCAATCCGGCAATTTACCAACAGGCCTAGCTCGGTACACACATAAGCTGTTGAAATACAGACCTGAGTTCAAATCCACAGATTGAAGTAGATGAACGGAATTTCTGATTACCTGGGGCCGATCGGTTTCACGATGATATGTTATTAGAGAAAACCCGTCAATTTATGTGTCAATCAAGCAAGCAGACGGGTAAGTGAGCAAGCGAGCCGCATTGCCTGCGATCAGATGATCTAAGGTATTGATTTTTTATTTTTTTTTGTCCTGAGCCAATGGTTCTGGCTTGGTGATCTATACTGTTGTAAAGTGTGTACTCATGCTACAGGTTTCTCAACTGAATCCAGTGGCACTTCATGGTCAGATGCATTGAGCAAAATCCAGTGGATGTATGCCCTAAGTGTGCACTCGGTCTGTTTTCTATCGTATGTGGTCGAGTGCCCAGGGAAAATTGAAATCGATAGAGATATCTGTGCAGAGGGACTGTAAGAGATGATTCTTGTTTTTTTCTGAAATTTTCTCTCCGTTTTGTTTGGGCGGCCGGGGGTGGGGTGGGGGGTTGAAGGGGTAGGACTCTGATGTGCAGTGTCATCATATATGGGGAGGTTGGGAGGATGAGGTGTATGTGAGGCAGGTATGGTGCAGTTTTCTTTTCTTTCCTCAAGGCAGAGGGGGACTTGGAGGGGGTGAGCGTGGAGCCATGGTTTGGAGAGGGATTGAGGGCGCCAGGGGGGATGATTCACAAGTTGTGGTTGGGGCGGGGAAGCGGGGAGGGGTTGAGGGCTGGAGGAGGAATGATTAGCAGCTGGTCTCTTTGGAGGGGTAGGGGGAGGGAAGGGGGAGGGGAAGGGGGAGGGAAAGGGGGAGGGGGAGGGGAGGGGAGAAAGGGGAGGGGAGGGGGGAAAGGGGGACGGGGGGAAGGGGAAGAGGAGGGAGAGGAGATAGAGGAAGGGCGAGTATGGATATTTCCGCAAGGAACACAAGGGCTGTGTGAGTGGGAGTTAGTATCTTGCAAATTTCACCCAAATAATAACCAAACTTAACCACAGAACAGTGAATTCAGATATATATTGAATGTTGGAGCGATTTCGCTTGGCTGTGTGCCGCATGGTGTGACATCCTCGTGCTTTTTCAGATTGCAGCAATTAGGCAGCGATTCAGCTTCAAGCGTGAGGGAGGTGCAGGAGTGTGCGAAAGGGAGAGTGGGAGCGAGAGGAGCAGCGTGCAAACAGGCGGCATTTCTGCAGACAAGGCAGGCGATTCTGCAAGGACACAAAACTAGAGCAGCATGCAGAGAGGTGGCATGTTTCCAAACAAGCGAGAGGAGATCCTGCAGGACCAGGTTGGATGGAGGGGTTGAGAGGAGGAGGGAGGGGGTGGCATTTGTGTGTGTTATGTTTCCAATGTTTTTTTTCTGCGCACGCTTTAATCCTGTTCATTTTCCTCTTCCTTGTAATGACTTGCTGACGTGAAGCAAATTCAGAATCCATGACACTGAAGTTGAGGAATCCGATCATGCGGAGGCAGGCATGCCCTACATTACAATGATTTTTATCCCCTTTCCCCCAAGTTCCTTGACCCTAACCACCCCTCCCATCCCCTGTCCTGGGCCTTCTTTTGGTACTGTTTTGGTCCCCCTGTCATGGGGTTACGACCGGTGGGATCCAAAAAGATTGATACAAAATTTCGAGCATTCTGCGTCGTGTTCTTGCACGTATTGTCGCCGCACAATCGATGATTTGTCTTGGTAATTTGTTACCTCATTTTTTGGTTTGTGAAAGCTGTTTCCTTGCTAAGGTACCCTCTAGAATGAAGCGACCGGCTTGTCTTCAGCAAGCTTAGTCTCGAAGTTCCCCTCCAGAATCGAGTGACCCTCCCGACTCCAGAGGGTAGGCTCTCGAGTTTAGCTTCCAGAATCAATCAAGCGACCCGCCTGTCTTCTGCAGACTTAGTCGTGAAGAAGGTAGGCTGTCGAGAGTAGCCTCCAGTCTCGCAGTTCCCATTCATAATCGAGTGACCCTCTTAACTCCGGAAGGTAGGCTCTCGTGGTCATAGCCTCAAGAATCAAGCGACCCACCTGTCTTCTGCAGACTTGGCCTTAAAGAAGGAAGGCTCTCGAGGGTAGCTTCCAGAATCTCGTCTGCAGACTTAGTCGCGAAGAAGGTAGGCTCTCGAGGGTGGCCTCCAGAATCTCAGGCGTGATAGCGAAGGAAAAACGTTGCAGCTTAGTCTCAAAGAAGTAGGCTCTCGAGGGTAACTTCCAGAATCTCTTCTGCGGACTTGGTCTCAAAGAAGGTAGGCTCTCGAGGGTAGCCTCCAGAATCTCAGGCGTGAATCGCATGATAGCAAAGGAAGCGCTGCAGCAGTCCACAGCAAGATGGACACGACTTGCCAGCTTACGCTACGCTGCGCTCATGTGAGCCACATAGTCCGTACCCTCTTGTCTTCTGCAGACGTGATCTCAAAGAAGGCAGGCTCTCGAGAGTAGCCTCCAGAATCAAGCGACCCTCTTGTCTTCTGCAGGTGTTGTCTCAAGGAAGGTACACTCTCAAGGGTAGTCTATCAGACTTGTCTTCTGCAGGCGTTGTCTCAAGGAAGGTACGCTCTCAACGGTATAGCCTATTAGACTTGTCTTCTGCAGACATAGGTCTGGAAGCTGACCTCTTGAGGGTGGCCTCCAGAATCAAGTGACCCTCTTGCCTCTGAAGGCTTAGTATCGAAGCTGACTATCGAAGGTATTCTCCAGATGACCAAGTGACCTTCTTGTTGTTGGTAGACAGTGTCTCGAAGGTAGCCTCCACAATCCACTGACACTTTGAGTGCAATCGTTATCGTGAACGGAAGTTTCAGCATCTGGTGGGCGAAACCTGACTGCCGTCGTCATCATCGTGAATGAAACACTGTGCCCGTGGACTCAGGAATCAGGCACTGGTAATTGGGTGTGAATAACAGGCAGGCACATCCTCATATTGTGCCAGGGTCTTGCAGCGACAAGCATTGTGATTGTTCAGTGTTGTTCAGAAAGTGTAGGAGTTTGACAAAGAAACCATTCTTTCTTCAAATAAAGACGAGGAAGAGCGATGTGAAACCCACTCCAGGTTTGTGGCAGTGTAGACCAATTTGCGAACGCGGATGTTTCCGAGAGCCTGGCAGGTGTGTCCAGCTCTGTGCTGGATGCAATTTTCAGATTCTATTGGCATGTGTGTCCAGCTCTGTGCTGGATGCAATTTTCAGATTCTATTTATAGCATTCAGCAGGAGTGTGTATGCCATCCCCAGATTTCTCTTTGTTCGTTGTTCTGCTGCTTTTTTTTGTTGTCGATCGCTTTATTCTTCAATCCAGTACTATCTCTGTCATGTTGGATATCTTTACATCTCTTCTTGTGAAGTTCCAACTTCCAACAATTTTTTTTTCCCTCCTCTGGCTGCTTTCCATTCAGGGGAGCATCAGTCCGGTTCCTTTTTTTTTTATCTTAATTTTCTTATAAAAAAAAAAAAATGGACCATTTCTCGATTGATGCGTGTCATCCTTGCGCAGGGGCCATGCTAATCTTCTCTGTATCGTTCCAATTTCAACAGATGTCCCAAAGGGCGCATCAGTCCGGTACCTATTCCACCGTCAAGTCAAGTTTTACATAGCGGAACTCACCCACACCCCTCCCCGTAATGGTCGGGAGGTCCGAGTAGACGGCATTGATTTCTTTTATCAGAAAAGAAAAGAAAAGGTGACATGACAGCCTTGAGATATCATCATCATCGAAGTGACCAGGCCCAGGTAATTCACAATTTTGCATTCCATTCATCTAGGTCCATCTAGATTCGGATTTCGAACTCAGGTCTGTATTTCAACAGTTCACGGATGGATGTACCAACGCATACTGTATCGTCTGTGAAAGCCACAATGTCTTGTCTCGTCCGTTAAACCGCAGTAGTACATGGCCCCAGCCTTGGAGAAAGTTTTTGTCGCCACAAGCAAAACTCAGAGGGGCCGCATGGCATGGGGCGCCGTTGAAAAAAAAAAAAATCAGTGGTCTCTGAAGTGGTGCTGGTTTCATGCTGACACCCGCTGGCCGATGTGTGGTGTACTGGTGCTTTACATTCCAACTGATATCACCGTCACGGCTGGTCTTTGCAACTGATGTCTCAGAGGGCAGAGTCGACTTCAATCGGTGTTGTTTCTGCACTAAGGTCCGGGTCCGGGTGGACATGTAAAACTGTAAACCCATTTCAAAGACAGGAGAACAGAATCATCTGGCCAGACTTGTCCGAAATGGCTCTGTTACTTTCTTTTTGTTTTGGGCACGCACGAAATTAAATCGACAGTCCCGGCAGTTTGATCACTTTTTTCTTTCGACTTTTAAGTGAATTGCAAAATGCCTCGTCAGCTCTCGAAGGGCATCTATGGGCATAATCACACTGGGACTTTTTCGACACAGCTCTGGATGCAATTCCAGTCAGATGAATCCAGGTTCCGCAACACAAAACGGGCTACTATACAGAACTAGATGACCCGTTGCCGCTTCGCCCGCAAAAACAGAAAAAGGAAAAAAGCACAAAAGAAAGAAAACGTATAAGGAACTGCCCTATCATATGCCACTTCTTTCACAATAAGAAAAAGAAGAGCCTGAGAGCAGACGAAAACCCGCGTGCAAGAAAATAGCACAGAATACCGCCGAACATTCTTTTTTCTTTATCTTTGCGTGTTTTGTTTGGGGAGCCGTTATCTTTGCAGCATCGGTTTTGTTTTGTGCTGTGCAAGTACGCTGGACTTTTCTGAGAAAATCCAGTCCGTTGTCCCGTTGATGTTTTTGGTAAAGATTCAGAATCAGACTTTGTTTGCTGCGTTCTCAGGATATGTTTGTGATCAAGCGATCTTGCATGTATGTATGCCCCGTGCTTGCTTGTTGAGTTTGGACGCTGTGTGTGCAAGTGCAAGCGCGTGTGGGTGAGTCTCAGTTTGGTGGGCTCGGATGATGTCAATGACGATTGGCCCGGGGAAGCTGTTGGAAGGCGCCTCCAACTATAGGAGTGCCACTGATGTTAAGCAGGTTTTGCATTGTATGAATGAAACAATCA